TGAAAAGACACTTCACCAAAGAAGATACACAGGCAGCCAACAAACAAGAGAAACTGCTCACGATCATTAATCACTGTTGTTGTTGTTATGTGCTGTTGAGTCAGACCCGACTCATAGGGACCCCTCCTTGGGTTTCTGAGGAAGGAGCTCTGGTAGCATAGTGCCTAAGGCACTTGACTGCTCACCAGAAGGCTGGCGGTTCAAACCCACCAGCCACTCCTCGGAAGGAAGGTTGGGCAATCCTCCTTCCATAGTGATACTGCCTTGGAAACCCAAGGAGGGGTCGCTATGAGTCGGGGCCGACTCGACGGCAAACAACAACAACAACAACATCACTATGGAAGTAGATTGCCCCATCTTTTTTCCGAGGAGTGGCTGGTGGGTTTCAACTGCCAGCTTTCTGGTTAGCAGTCAAGTGCCTTAGCCACTATGCTACCAGAGCTCCCCATTAATCATTAGAGAGATGCAAATCAAAGCAACAATAAGATATCACCGCACCCCAGCAATAATAGCAAAGTTCAACAGGTCAGAAAATAGCAAATAATGGCGAGGTTGTGGAGAGACTGGAATTCTTGTGCACTGCTGCTGGGATTGTAAAATGGTACAACCCTTGTGGCAAATGGTATGGCGTTTCCTTAAAAAACTGAAAATAGAAGTACCATTTGACACAGCAATTCCAATACTAAGACTATATCCTAAAGAGGTGAGAGACAGCGCACAAATAGACATACGTACACCGATGTTCATAGCAGCACAATTCAGTATAGCAAAGAGATGGAAACAACCTAAATGCCCATCAACGGATGAGTGGTTTGATAGTTGGAGCTGTGTGTCAACTTGGCTGGACCACAATTCTGTGTGGTTTGAGCTGTTGTGGTGTGATTGTTCTCATGATGGGATCAGATGACTATATTCTGAGTGGCCAATCTGTTGACGGGGAGTTTCCCTAGGGGTGTGGCTTGCTTCCAGTATATCCAAGGACATTCTGAGAAAAGGGACATTCTTCTGTGTATCGGGATTCTGTCGTGCTGCCTACAACTGTCCATGAGTGAACAGTCCATCATTCGGCTGGAGATCTTGGATTCATCATTCATTGGCGTCAACAACCAGTGTACTGCCTGCCAGCCTTGAGCTCCTCAGCCCCTGTGGCTGCAAGAGTCGGGAAAAGCCTCCAGCTTAACGTAGAAAAGCCTCCAGCTTGATGTTTGATCCAGGAACTTTGGACTTGCCAGCTTCTATAAGTGTATGAGCCATTTTCCTAAGATAAATTTCTCTGTCTATATACATATATAAGCTTTACTGTATTTTGTTTCTCTAGAGAACCCAGTCTAACACAAGGGGATAACCAAATTATGGTACATGCACACAATGGAATACTATGCTACATTAAAGAACTATGTTGTTGTTGTTATGTGCCATCAAGTCGGCCCTGACTCATAGCGATCCCTCCTTGGGTTTCCGAGGCAGTATCACTACGGAAGTAGGATTGCCCAACCTTCCTTCCGAGGAGTGGCTGGGGGGTTTGAACTGCCAGCTGTCTGGTTAGCAGGCAAGTGTCTTAGCCACTATGCTACCAGAGCTCCCAAAGAACTATGAGGGATATGCAAATCATCTCACAATGTGGATGAACCTGGAGGACCTTATGCTGAATGAAGTAAGTCAACTGCAGAAAGACAAGTACTGTATGAGCCCATTACTGTAAAAAGAGAAAGAAGGGTTTGCTTGGGAAAGGGAACTCACTTAGTAGATTATCGGGATGGGGAGGGCAGGGGAGGGGAGGGGAGGGCAGGGGAGGGATTAATTTCAGGCTAGTTGGGCCCACATGCTGATGTGGGTAGGGAGAGGGATATACGGGAAGGATCTTTGACCACCATGACAACATTAGGAAATGGGAGGACACTGAATTGTGCACATAAGAGATAGACAAGAGATGCTAATACCAACGAATGTGTCCACAATACTGCATTGCCTTAACACCAAACACCAGGCTACATATAAACACATAAACTCCTGAGAGGATCAGATGGGGGTCGGTGAACAGAAATATACTCTAGATCAAGGACAGATTCAGCTGAGGCTAATCTTGCACAGACACCAGTAATACAAAATCCTTCATTCCTTACAGAAACAGTAGAAGACAGACACAGAGTAAAACCCTCACAGACAACCAGACACTATGGGAGAGAGATCCAATAGATCTACTGCCTCAGGACCATAGTACTGGGGAACACCAGACTCAATTGCCACAACAAAATACATAAAAACCTTGCTCCATATCCTACATTGCTGAGCAGTGACTGGGGTCTTAAAAGCTTTCAAGTGCCATCTGAGATGCAGCTAACAGTCTCCTTGCGTCGGAAGAGAAGAACGCAAAAAAAAAAAAAAAAAAAAAAATCCAAGGGCATTTGGAAGCAATCAGCCAGAGGAATGATGGCTCTTGAGACCAGAAGTAGTAGATGGTGCCCGGCTACAAACGAATGGATTAAATCTCGAAATCCTGGATAGAGTGTGAGGGAAAATGTGGAACAAAATTCAAAAACTCAAAAATGATCAGAATTACTGGTCAGATGAAATGTGGTGAGAGGCCCAATACTATGGCCCTGGAATACATTCTGTGCCTAGAATAAAACACACCCCCAGGGGCTGGCTCTGAGCCCAACAGTTAACAAGAAGTACATGCAGACCACTCAACCCAGGATGATGTGTCCACATACTCTATGGTAATACATCCCTTAGAGCAGTAACCATGGGACAGCAGAGGACCAACATTCGAATTGAGGAAATGCAGGAAAAACAGGAGTGCATAAATATGAGGGGCAGAAGGGGAGGGTACCATTTTACAATCCTACCATCAGGAGAAGACTGGGTTAGGTTGGACATGGTAAATGGGGAATGAAACTAAATGTACACAAAATGTTGAATGTAAAACAAGCTCTTAAAAAAATTAAAAATATATTTCCTTTTACAAATACCTAATATATGTATACTGGCACAAAGTACTAACTAGTATTAAAGGAGATATAGGGATGAATGAGAATGGAACATTTTCCTAAAAATACCTTTTAATTTCATATATGAAATTAAATTCATATGGATGCACAATTAATTTCATATCACACACTATAATAGTCCATTAATTAAATGCTAAAATACTTTCCAACTACTATCAGAATGAGGAGGAAAAGATTAAAACTAGGGATCAGATTCAGTATTTCAATAGATTGTTGCTGTTGTTATGTGCCATCAAGTCAGACCCGACTCATAGTGACTCCTCTTTGGGTTTTTGAGGCATTATCACTATGGAAGTAGATTTCCTAAACTTCCTTCCAAGAAGTGGCTGGTGGGTTTGAACTCCCAGCCTTCTGGTTAGCAGTCAAGTGTTGTAGGCACTACAATCAATAATCTTCACATAAAGCATAACATCAGTGATTAACTGATACTATTTTTAATAAGAGTTAACATTTTTTGAGAAGTCAATATGTATCTGAATTATTTGAAGTGCTTTACACATTTAACTCATTTAATCTTTACAACAATTCTCTAAGGATTATTACTAAATTATCATAATTTTATAGAAGAGGAAACAAAGGCACAGAGAGTTCAAGAAATTGCTCAAAGACACACAACTAGTAAGTGGTAGATCTAGGATTTGAACTGAGGTCATCTGACTCCAGAATCTAGGCTCGTAACTACTTTTATACTAAAATGATATAAATATTTTTTTAAATGCTGTGTATGCTATTTACAACTTTGCAACTGTTCCCTGTCTTTCAATATTTCATAAATATTAGGAGCACTATCTTATAATCAGGTAAAAGAACCTTTAGAAGACTCTCATACCCATATAAATGACACACGTAGATATAGATGAAGCAACTAATCCTAAATATATCATGAAATACCCACTTAAAAATATTATCGTTCCATTTACTCCTATTCATATTTCAGATTTTTGCCATTGTTCACGCCTTCTGAAATTGATTGATTCAAAACCTTTCCTCTTCTTGTTCTGAACAATCTATTTCTATTTCACCTAGTACCACATGGATTGAAGTTTGATACTATTTCCAATATTTTGCAATCACATAACAGTGAAATAGCTATTATTGTATATATATCCCTAAATTACTGAGTGTTACCTTAGGGAATATTCTTAGAATTGAAGGTGCTCAATCAAAATTTCTAGCTATTTTTATAAGGCTATACATATACACTTGAAAATAATTTTAATAGAAAGGTCATACCAAATTATATTCCTTTCAGCAATATCTACAACTTCCCATCTGACTGCACTATTTTCAGCACTGAATACTATTTTTCTTTTCATTTTTGCCAATTTGAGAAGAAAAAAATATATCTCATTCTTAATTTGCATTTCATTTATTATTACTAAGGTTGAGAATTTTTTTACCTAAATTCTAGTTGTGATTATACATTTACTCTAAGAAGCATGCTTCTACAAGTTGCTTATGATATTTGTCAATTATTCTACTGGACAGACTAATATATATAATGTTACAATCTCTGCTAACATACAGGAGAAAGTGAGAACTAATGATTTAATGCGTAATTTATGCATCTTGATTATTCATGCTAGTCATGTTGCCTACTAGCACAGATATATGAATGTTCATTATTTTAGAAAAATATATTTTTTCACTCTAGATTATCACATTACTTTTAATTTCTTTTCCTACTGCAAATATGCTCCTTTTTTCCCTAGGGAAGTGACATACTTATTAAAGGAAAGTGAAGGAGGTCTCATTGAGCCATGAAACTATAACAGGATCATGAAATCTATTATTAAACTACCTGCTTAGGAATTTTCATGGTACTATTTACATTTAGGAGCTTTATATTTTGACTTCTCTCACTGACTACTGACTATGTCAATGACACTTCTTTGTTTTTTGGTTAGGTATCACATCAAAGGTAAGGCAGAGAGAGCAACTATAATATTTATCACATTAATCTGAAAAAGAAAAAAAAGGTATACTAACTTTGTGATTCATGATTTTTCCATATGTCTCCACCAGAGATTCTGCATAAAATGGTGTTTCTCCATAAAGCATTTCATACATACAGACCCCCAAAGACCACCAGTCACACTCAGGTCCATATCTGCCTTTTCCATCTTCCATGGCTTGAAGGATCTCAGGAGATATATAATCTGGGGTTCCAACAGCTACTGAGGACTGGACCTGAAGAGGTTCACATTTTTAGTAATTTAATATTTTAGAAACAAAAAAAATGTTAAAATAAACAAAGTTTTACTTAGCATACAACAGACATTATCTTATAATAATATGCTTGCAGTTATCTGAATTTAGTTCCATTGAACATATAAGTTAAATTTCATATAATCTTCACATTAATAGTTTTCCAGATTTTATAATACTATAGAACCTCTATATACTACTGCCACTTGATTGCATACATTCAGAGGAACAATCTAATGTAAACCACCAGACTATTAACAATAAATTAAATATTCTGATTAATGATATTTATCTATCTGACTAACACATATAAACAAATGGAACTGTGGAAAATCTACAGCGAGTTAGGAAAAACAAAATCCTAAAATGTAGGTCAATATGTATGAGAGACCTGGAAATAATTTTAAAACACATTTAAATTAAAACAAAAACAAAAAACCTAATAATTGTCAATAATGTCCCACAAACTACTTGTTAATAAAAAATTATGACAGAGGAAACATACATCCTTCAAAAAATAAAATCATAAAAAAGAAAAAAATAGTTGATATAAATATGGCAGATTATCTGTAAGTTAGAAATTAGGTAGCTAAAAAGGATCCTGAAAATATCTTATAAGGTGTTCTGAAATAAAAGAAAATGAGCTGTTTATATATTTTTAAAGAACATGTCAAAGCAGTGAGCATTCTGAAGGTACTTTATCAAACAAGGGTTAATATTCTGGATTTTCCAGACTAAATTATCCTTTTTAATAATCATTAAGATTTCTGTTTGGTAATACTGAGATTCAGTACCTTAAAAACACTTCCATTACAAACTCTTACAAATGCCAGAAAAAATATAACAATCATTCTTATAAACATGTGAAAGAATTTTTAAGAAAAGAGAAAATGGGGGCCACTAATCAAGAAATAGTTGAGACAATCAGGTATGTCTGGGAAGAGGGCAGTGTGCCCATGACCAAGGGTTGGCAGACGGTGTTTCTACAAGTGTATCTGTATGTTCTGTAACAATGTCCAGGTATATAGTAGAGCTGACAAGGGACAAAGTTATGATGACTTCTTGGCCACAACAAGCTACCTGGAAGGAACAAGTAGTTGGACCTGTGGGCATGGGACCATAGTCTCAGGGAACATCAAGCTCACTTGGCATAACATACTACATAAAAACATTGCTCTACATCCTCCTTTGGTGACTAGCAACTGGGATCTTAAAGCTGGCAAGCAGCTATTTCAATGCAACGATGGGTCTCTCATCCAGAGCAAAGAAGAATGAAGAAAACCAAAGATGCATGGAAACAATTAGTTCAAGGGACTGGTACACCATGTGATCCTCAGCAATATGACCAAGAGACCAAAAGAACTAGATGGTCAACCACTTGGAGGGGGATCTGTGTAGTAGATCCTGGGTAGAGTAGGAGAACAATGTGGAACAAAACTCAAAATCATAAAAAAATAAAAATAAAAAAGTAATAGACCAGTTTTGCTGGTCTGACAACCTGGTGAAACCCCTGAGAATATGGCCCCTACCTGCCCTTTAGGTCTGGAATTGAACTCACTCTTGTGGCTTCCAGCCAAATAAAAGACAGACATATAGACTGAACATTTACATCAGGCAGATACACTCCTTGGGGGAAATCAATCATGGGAGAATAGAGGGGAAGTGTATGCACAGGAAACCGGCTCAAGGGGCAGAAGTACATGGGAGAAAGGACACAGGGAAGAGGTAACTATGGGGAGGAAATGGGAAGAGAGCTGTTAGACTGGGAAATTACAGTCAATGTCATGAGACAAAATGTGCAAAAACTGTTTTTGGGAAATGAATTTGCTCTGTAGACTATCACCCAAATCACAACAAAAATTTAAAAGAAAAAGAAAAAAAGAGAAATGGTTGAGAACCAGGCTGATAAGCTATAGAGCTATGGAGCAGGTTGGGTCTACAAAAACAAGTATGTTTAAAATGATTGTTACTGTTAGTGTCCCTGACTCATGGCAACCCCATGCACAATGGAACAAAACACTGCCTAATCCTATGCCATTCTGATCAGCTGAAGATCAGAGCACCGTAATTCATAGAATTTTCAATGCCCGATTTTGGGAAATAAATTGCCAGGCCTTTCTTCATAGTCCTTCTTAGTCTGGAAGCACTGCTAAAATCTGCTCAGTACCATAGCAAAGCAAAAGCCTCCACTAACGGATGGTGGCTGCACATGAGGTGCTTTGGCCAGGAATCCAATCTAGGTCTCCTATATGGAAAGTAAGAATTATACCACTGAACCACCAATGCTCCTTTAAAATGATTAGAGACATTTAAAAAAAAAAAAAAATCAAACACAAGAGAAAGAAAAGAAACTTAAGAAAAAAATCAAACAGAAGTTCTTGTAAAGAAAAACTAGTCAGTGACATATAAAATGCAGGAAATAGGCAAAAGGTAGATTAGTTACAGCTGAAGAAAATAATAAATCTGAGATGAGCTAAAGAAATTAAACAGCATCCAGTATGAAGAGATAAAGAGACATAAATACAGAAGAAAAGCAAGAGACTAGGATGCTAGAATGAACATATTAAAAATATGTGTAATATGAGAGGGGAAAAAACAAGAGAGAGTAAAGCAATATTCAAAGAGACAAAGCTTAAAATTTTTCAAAAATAATGTAAAATATGAATCCTTGGAAGCAGGAAGGGTATTAAGTCCTGAGAAGAATAAATAAAAACAGATCTACCTCTATATATATTGTAGGTAAACTGTAAAGCACCAAAGGCAAAGAAATCTTAAACCAGTTAAGAATAAAAAAGGTTACACACTAAGGAATGACAATTAGACTGACAGCTCAATTATTATTAGCAATAGAAACCAAAAGAAAATGGAACTGAAACCTTAGAGTGATGAGACAAAGTAATTCCCAATATACATTCTCCATATACCTAAACTCTTATACATGAAGGAGTTTGAAATAAAGACATTTTCAGCCAAAGACTGAGAGGTACTACTTATAAACCTCTGCATATGAGATTCTAAAGAATATACTTCAGAATGTAAGAAATTCAACTCAGATGAGAGAATATGATACTAGAAACAATTGTGAACAAAAATATTTTAAATAAAACTTTAACCGAGAATAATGATGATGATGATGACTATGACAATGACGAGAAAAACTACCTGTGGTAGAAAAATAAGTTGAAACTGAAAAAACAACATATTTGAGAGTTATTAGGTTAAAATTGCTAAATTTCTTGTTTTGACTGAGAACATCCTAAGAAACTGATTAACTTTAGATTATAAAGTATGAGTGTTAAAATTTTAAAGATAATCACTAGAATATCTGAAATAGAATGCATAAATTCCAAAGAAGTAAAGAAAAAAAGAGAGAAGTACATTAAACTTGATCAAGCCAACAATAAACAGGAAAGAAGAAAAACAAACAAAAGAAGCATGCATGTAGACGAACAAGCAAAACCTACATATAGTCGACAGCCCCAAGATATGAAAGAAGTAAATACAAATACGCTGACAATTATAAAATTTTTAAATAGATTAAATTCACCTATGAAGAGACAGAGTTGTCACACTAGATAACAAACAAAACCAAAGAAATAAATAAAACCAAATCTCAGCAATATTCTGTTTAAATGAGATGTGCCAAAAATATAAGGACACAGAAAGGCTTTTCAAAGTAAAGGTATAGAAAAGATAGGGCAGACATAATAAAACTTAAAAATAATAAAACAAAAACTATAGTTAAAATAACTACAGTAATATCAGTCAAAATATATTCTAGGCCAAAATTATTACTAAGAGTTCTTAAAATTCATAAATATAACAGTAAAAGAAAATATCCTGGAAGAAACAATAATTCTAAATATTTTCTATTTAACAACGTAGCCACAAAAGAGCTGTGCAAAACACTGACAAAAGTGAAGAAGAAATTAACCCACCACCAAAGTTAGTGTTTTTTTAAATATGCTTGTAAAAATACACACTAGATCAAAGAGATAAATAAAAGTAGTAAGAATATAAAACTAAAACAAAAAAAACAAAACTCACTGCCATCAAGTTGGATCTGACGCATAGCAACTCGTCCTTGGGTTTCCAAGGTGGCATTACTATGGAAGTAGTTTGCCCAATCTTCCTTCCGAGGAGTGGCTGGTGGGTTTGAACCACGAGCCTTCTGGTCAGCAGTCAAATGCCTTAGGCACTATGCCACCAGAGCCCCTAAGAATATAAAACTACTGAACAGCAATTAAATATAGCAATTGTAAATAGATTAGACTTAATCTATTTACAATTGCTGTATTTATAAATTATCTAACTTAATCTTACAGACTTTTATATATAGAAACCCGTACCCCAAAGTTAATGAAAATGTACTTTTCCCCAAAATAAACATGGAACACTTACTAAAATTAGCCTGCTAAAAAGTCACAAAGCAAACCTCAACTAATGTCAAGAAAATGATATCAATGACACCATTCTTCACTAAAATGAAACTAGAAATCAATTAACTAAATAAGTAAATAAATAATATACTATGGAAATTAAAATGCACACTTTGAGATCATTAGAAGCTCAAAGGATAATTCTAACTGAATTTGTAAAACATTTAGACTTCAACAATAGTAAAATACTCTATATCAAAACTTACAAGGGCAAAGAGAAACATAAACAAATAACATTGGGAATAAATAGGGGACAAACCTATACATGTAACATAGATCTTAAAACTAGGAAGAGAGTGGTATGAACAACTTTATACTTATAAATTTCAAAACTAAGAGGAAATAGATAATTACATGTTGTTGTTATGTGCCATCGAGTCAGATGCAACTCAAAGTGACCCCTCCTTGCGTTTCTGAGGCAGTATCACTCCTGATAGTAGATTGCCCCATCTTCCTTCAGTGGAGTGGCTGGTGGGTTTGAACCACCAGCCTTCTGGTTAGCAGTCAAGTGTCTTACGCACTATGCTACCAGAGCTCCCTAAG